CTCTCTCTCTCTCTCTCTCTCTCTCTCTCACACACACACACACACACACACACACACACACACACACACACACAGAGAGAGAGAGAGAAAAAAAAATTTTTTTTTTTAAATTTAAAACAGATGACTAAGTAAAGCTGAAAAGAAAAAGGGATTTAATGTCCTTTCCGTCAAATCTTTTTTGCTGGGCATGGCACTGGCCAGGGGATAAGAATAAATGGGAAGGGAAATGCAAATCACATCCTCTCAAAACTCATCAGAGCACACCTAGAGAGCCTGCCTTAGAGCGCTGCGCACAGAAAGGCCAGTAAACAGTCACCTAAATAGGTGCAAGTGACATGTATCTCAGCACCTTTCAGAACAACCGCTGTGCACAACCTTTACTTTTTTCAAACTTCTCCCACACTGATATTTTTAAGAATTTATACCTCATCTATGTTTTTTAAAATCCACAGTAATGGGAATAAATTCCAAAACGTGTGGCAAAGTCTGGAGTAATTGTGATTGTAGTTCATTGGTACCCTCATTTAGAAGCTAAATATAATAACCATAGTTATTAAACATTCAGCTTCAGTAATATCTGGCCACAGTCACTCACAGGACACACCTGACACGAGGGACTGGAAAATGAGGTGATTAAAGAGTAACTTGCAAACAATGAAAACCCGAATCTTACTTTGAATTTGTCTGCCTGACAGTATTATTCTATTTCAGGGGTTCTGACTTAGATCAATGATACATATTCAAACTTCAGAATCATTTTAAGAATTTTGTCAAGAAAAAACAAACAAAGGACACCAGAGGAGATGGGTTTATAACCAATACCTGTCCCCTGCTTCTTTTTCAGGAGAGATGCACAGGCGGCGTTGGTGGCCATGTCCAGGGCCAGCTTCTTCTCGTTGTTTCTTAAGTCTGTCCTTGCACCTTGCCAACACAAGAAAAAGAAACTGTGTGTCTCTGAAAACTGGATGGTGGCATCCAATCCTCCACACCAAAGCTAATCACTCTGGTAAAGCTACCTAGAGAACAATTCTGGTCCACAATTAATCTTTCTTAAAACACAGCATTGGGCATCTTTATCAGGGAGCTTGCTGCTCCCTGTGATAATTAGCTCCATTAAAGCAGCCCTTCCCTTCCAGGCTCCAAGGGATGGCAAATGGAGTTTTCAGTGAGGAGGGTCTCAGCCCCTGGGGAAATCCTGACAGCCATAACCAAACTCCAAGGGTTATGGTATCTCAGTAGGAGCTTCAATCCAATATACCCTTTGCCACTTCTTCAGTTTAAGACGGTCTTCAGAAAAGACTACTGTGTTGGATTTCAGGGGATTAATACTTTATATCTGCAGGTGTACTCATATGCAAATCAGCAGAATGGCAATACAATAAAACTCAAAGGTAGGGCTGGGGAGATGGTTCAGCAGATAAAAGCACTGGCTGCTCTCACAGAGAATAAAGGTTTGGTTCCCAGCACCTACATGGCAGCTCATAACCATCTGGAACATCTCTGGTCTCTGTGGACACTGCACACATGTGGTGCATTTACATACAAGCATGCAAAGCATTCATAGACATAAAATTAAGAGAATAAATGTTTTTAAAACTCAGAAATGATTCACTGTTCCCCAATTCATTATTCCTGTAAGCCCTCTCCCCTTCATTGTTTCCTTGTCTTTGTCCTAAAAATTATACCAGAGTCCATGAAGACATCTGCATTGTTAAACATTTAAAAATACAGAAGCACATCCAACAAAAACGTAAGTGCTATTGTACTTTTCATTCCCCTTTGTCAAAGTGCTTCAAAAGTGACCACGCCTAGAACTGGCTTGAGTTGTCTCATGTGTGCCAATGCACCTACACACATATGAACACATACACAAAAATCAAGCTACATGTGCTGATCTGTATTTTATTTTTTATTACATTTATTTATTTATTGTGTGTGTATGTGTTAGAGAGCCTATACCATGGTGTGTGTGTAGAGGTCAGAGGACAACTTGAGGGAACAGGAAGCTGGTTTTCTCCTTCCACCATGTGAGCCCCAGGGAGTGAACTCAGGTCCTCAAGTTTGGCAGCAGGCACCTTTGCCTACTTTGCCAGCTTGCCAGACTGGGAACTTTTAACTTGACAGTATATGATATGCTTTTCTTAGCAGTATGCATAAAACTTAATGTATTTAAACATAAGTATTCCATTTTATGGATATTCCAAAACTTGATTTCATCTCAGCTTTACTGACAGGCATGCATACTCTAATTTTCATGATCACTAGCACTATAATGAGTATCCTTGAACAACCTGTTCAAATGAACATCTAAATGATGGTTCACTAGAAGTGGTGCTTAAGTGCAAAGATATCTATGTCTTCAATTCTGCTGGCTACAGTCAGCTTGTTTTTTAGATTGTTTCCTACCCATCTACACTTTCTGTCAGTGTTCCTACCAATTTATGCAGCATTACAGGTGCAAATACTATCCCCATTCTTCGAAAACAAAACACAAATGTAGCTAAGTAACACATGGCTAGTGGCTACCGTGTTGGTGGTTGCTGTGTAAGACAGCACAGCCCTCAGCATGACCTTTAGGAGGGTTCAACAGTGGTCCTCAGAGAAGCTGACCTTTTAGAGCAGAGCTTTACATCTTCACACTTAAAACCTTTTAAAAGTATCCCCACTCATAAATCCTATATTTCCCCCAAGGATCCCTAATGATAGAGTCTATAACTTATGGCTTGGGGACTGATCCTTCCGGGCCAAACTGTGGTATGGAGTGGTATGTCCATGTAGATGTCTTAAGAGGGATTAATATTTATGGAGCAAGTGGATTAATGGATAATCAACTCCTAATTTAACTGATTGTTCTAAAAGCAAGAGATGAGATTAAAGCATCCCTCACTCACACAGAGGTGCTGGCTCAGCTCAGGCAAAACAATGTAGTGACAGCACTCTTGTTTGTTATTAAGAATCTTCTAAGCAGGGCTGGAGAGATGGCTCAGCAGTTAAGAGCACTGGATGTTCTTGCAGAGGACCAGGGTTCGATTCCCGGCACCCACATGATGGCTAAAAACCTTCTGTAACTCCAGTCCTAGGAAAATACAATGTCTATTTCTGACCTCCAAGAGAACTGCATGACACGGGTGCACTTACGTGCATGTAGACAACACATACACACACACACACACACACACACACACAAATATAATTTTTTAAAAAAGAGACTCTCCCAGCACTCATGAAGCAGAGGCAGGAGGATCTCTGTGAGTTCAAGGCCAGCTTGGTCTACATAGTAAGTCCCAGACCAGCTGGGGCTACAGGGAGACCCTGTCTCAAAAAATTAAGACTCTCGTAAGCAAGCAGGGCCTCAACTTCATCCCAGCTTTCTCAGACAAGATGCCCCAGATACTCCCCTTCTCATGTCCAATAATCCTACAGATAATTCACAGTAAATTCTTTCTAAAAGTAGTGTGTGTATAATTTTAAGTTTCTCAACGTTAATGAACAGTAAATAGTAGTATAAATACACCTTTATAATTTCCTATTATTGCAATAACTCAGATATAGGCAGAATATAGGTTAAAATTCTAGTTTTAAAATAGACAGTTATTTTATAAATATTTTTATGTGTATGAGTGTATTGCCTGCATGTGTGCAAGGCATCCGTGTCATGCAGTGCCCATGGAGGTCAGAAGAGGGCATTAAATCCCCTGGAACTGGGGTTACGGACTGTTGTTAGCTGTCATATGGGTGCTGGGATTCAAACTGGGTCTTCTGCAAAAGCAGAAGTGCTCTTAACCACTGAGTCATCTCTCCAGTCCTGAGACTTAGTCGTCTTACTATTTCAAATGGTCTCTGTTATGAGATGGTTTTCAAGGTAAGCAAAGACCAGACAAATTCAATAGAACTTTACCTTTTGCCAACAGCAACTGGACAATGTCTGCATAACCCTTCCAAGCAGCAGCATGCAGAGCTGTGTCTCCCAACTTGTTCTATGGTAAAACAAAGAGAAAATGGTGTTATGAAAATAGGAAGCTGAGCCAGGCGTGGTGGCACACGCCTTTAATCCCAGCACTCGGGAGGCAGAGGCAGGCGGATTTCTGTGAGTTCAAAGCCAGCCTGGTCTACATAGCGAGTTCCAGGACAGCTGGGGCTATAGGGAGACCCTGTCTCAAAGAGACAAAAAAAAAAAAAAAAAAAAAGAGAGAGAGAGAGAGAGAGAGAGAAAATATGAAGTGGATTGAATGAACACTGTAATGTAAATTTAATCCACTTAATAAGAGGAAAATACCCAAAATAAGAAGAAAGATACAGAACCACATGAAATTCCAAAAAGGAGAGGAAAGGAGACTTAGGCAATGATAGGAGTGACTTTGGGAAGAAGCATCCCTGTGGGGACAACAAAGGGATGGAAGAGAAAAATAATATGGCAGAGTCCAAGCTGAAACACAGATGCGAGCAGAGGGAGACACCAGCAGAGAATGAGCACAGAAACCCAACAAGAATCAGGAACTGAAGACTCCTAGAGGTACTGGGCAAGGGGGAAGCATGGGGTAAAAACAGAGCACTGGTCGAAAACTGTTTATAAGACATAATTAGAACCACTCACTGCCAGATTACCTGCTAACAATGGTAGAATCACCCTGTTGAGAAATTTACCAGAGTTCCCAAGCTCATGGACAAAGTGACATGAGAAGATAGCAATGGCCAGAGTGAGGTGAAACATCTGTATGGTGAACAGTAAGACCCTTTGTTCAGCAAGTATTACCTGCTCCACTGGCCAATGTATGCAGTGAACTGCATGCCCCCAGGCGGGAGAGCACAGGACACCCCTCTATCAAACAGTACAGCCCCATGGGTGGGGAGAGGGTGGGTTATGTTCACAGACTCAGCAAAATAAGATAGCCTCAAGCCAGGCATGATAGCACATGCCTTTAATCCCAGCACTTGGGAGGAAGAGACAGACAGAGCTCTATAAATTCAAGGCCAGACAAAGCTACATAGTGAGACTGTGTCCCTTTAAAAACAAAAAACAGCTCTCTCTAACCCGCAGGCCTAACTCTCCAGGGTAAGTGGATCATGCCCTCCATGCCTCGACTCCCCCAGCCTCATTCACCCTCCCATCTTCCCTGCTGGTCTCTCCTCCTAGCCTGGGTCCCTGTCCCATTCCTTGTCTTGGCGCCCCAGACACCTGGGGAACCAGCACTGCTACCTGATCCTTTGCATCCAGACCAATTCAGTTCCTGCTTGGGTCCCTAGGAGCACTCTGGGGCTGGCCCTGCCCTCACCTCTACTTCCCTGAGCCTGTATGACCTGCCAGCCTCACCAGCCTCTTTCCTGGACCTGAGAGCTGACATTTCCGCTTCCTGATCCTTTGCATCCAGGCCAACCCAGGTCCTCAGTGCAGTCCCCAAGAGCCCTTGGGGCCGCTTCCTGCCCCCATCTTTCTTTGCATGTCTGGGTGGAACGGCCACCAGCTGCCCTAGACCAGCATTTTTCCTGGGCCTGACCCAGGCCAGCCCAACCCACAAATTCCTGAGGCCAAAATCTTTCCTGATGGGATCCAGACCTTAGGACAAAGCCAGAGAGCAGCGGATCCTCATCTGACCTGGGCCTCTGTGGGAACTCCTGAAGACCAAAGCAATCTGGCCATTCCAATATAAAATCAAAAGAGAGAATGGGAAGCTTAGAGGAACCAGCTTTTCATGCCCCAAAAGTAAACCACAAAGACATATAAAGTTCACAAAAAGAAGCGGACCTAAATTTGAAGGCTTGAATCTCATACAAGAATCAGAAACTACAAAAGAAATTCACATGTCAAAATCACAGAGAAAA